TCTGCAACGACTGGTACCATGGCTTCCCGGGACCCATGTGCTCCGAGCCTGTTGCAACAGCGAAGAAGGGGGAAGAGGAAGAGAGGCCATGGAAATGCTGCGACTTGGCTCTGTGCACCAGGTCGTTCCCGCCGATGTGCCGCTGCGTGGACAAGGTCGAGCAGTGTGCTGCAACCTGCAAGAAATGCGAGCCGGCCACGTCGGACTCATCCCGCCGCGTCTGCAACGACTGGTACCACGGCTTCCCGGGGGCCAAGTGCACCGCCGGCGGTAACTAGCATGCGCGTTGATCACCTGTGCAACGCCGTCCAGCCTGAGCTTTAGTAGCTGCAGCAGCCTGCAGTGTGTGTAAGCAATAAAATAAAATGGAAAGTCAGGCAATCACGAATAAAAATGTAATGGAGATCGTGACCATGCTTTCACGAAATGGAATGCAGTTTTGTTATCTTTGAAGTTGTGTTTCACAATTCACACCAAAGTAAATTATGTTAATCTGCAGTTCTGCACGGACGCTGCCTCCTAACCCTAGCTCCCGTTGTCGCCTCGGTCCTTGTCCTCCTCCCTTCTGGAGTCCGTCCGTCTCGTTTCAGTTACCAACATCGATATCGATGAGGTGGTGACGACGGCAACGTGTTGGAATAAGGCCTCTTTCTATGTCCCATCTGACACCGACGAAGGGCCGGTGGGAGTTTATGTCCTCGGATATGTTGGTTCCGGTCAGATTCTGGGAGTTCCAATCTTAGCAGTTCATGTGTCTCTCAAGAAGAGATACTTCGACATCTTCATTTGTGTTGTTTTGTGGCTTAGTCCAGAAACCAGTTTCTCCAACTCTCTAAATTGGTGTGAAGGGATTGCAACCTGTTTCATGTGAGATGATGCTTCAGTCGATGCTTATTCAATGATTGTTAGATCTCGTCTCAAGAGGCAAGTAGCTATTGCGGTCTTAAAAGCCTGGTTGTACGAGTACGACGGCGTTTGCACATATCATTTTTCTTGTTGTCGTTGGTTCAGCGCAATTCTCAATCTCTAACGAACGATATTTAATTGAAGAAAAGGAAAATTAATATGCTTTAATATAATTTTGCTTTCTTACCGGTCGTTCTACGTCCAATTATATATTCATTGTGCTAGCCTTTGTTTTTCTGGATAGTAGTCAGATCTAAGTTATCCTTTGGGTGTCTTTATTCATAAAAACATTATAATAATCTGCATTGTCTAACCAGTTTAGTATCGTGTACTGAGCCTGGCTGATGAAACCGGCTCGTCAGATTCTTCTCCTAGACTTTACACCGGCGCTCGCATTTAAAAATATATATTTCAGACTTCTCGATGAAGTTCGCTCTGTGGGTAGAAACGTTCGTGTGTGTTTTTTTTGCAGGTAGGAACGTTCATGTTGACTACAAAATTTGACCATCTACGTTTATATTGTGTTTTTTTCTTCAGATCACGTTTATATTGTGTTAAGAAAAACAAAAAATTATAGCACAAAACTGGAGATAAACTGGTTAAGTATATCTAAAATTAGAGTAGTTATTTTTGACAGCTGAAAGAAATGTAAAAGTCTTGCTACATATACGGATAAATTGGCGTAGGGATTACATATATATAGGTTGCCACGTCTTCACTTCATCTGGCTAACATGTTGCAGACACACCGGATCTCATTGCATTGGATATTGAGATTTCCTCGATTAAGCTCGCTGCAGCCGTACGTGACATGCATTAGATTCGGTCTGTCTCCTTTCGCAGGATCATTGTTGAACGCATCCACGTGCTAAGATGCATGCATGCATGTAGGGATATGCAGAGGGCAATTGATGGTAGTTTTGAGCCACCCTCGCGCCCCATGAGTGCAATTAACAAACAGTAGGTAGTACTACCAAGCACGCAGTGTGATGTACGCGTCGGCCTCGACACCAGGAGGCGTAAACTAATCGATGTGGCAGCTGTGTGCAGGCAGCTGGTACAGGCACTATATTATTGCTTGTCGATCCAGATCTAGCAAGCTCGAACAGTCACTAGCTAAGTTCGTCTGCCGCAGATGTAAAAGTTTTTTACTGCTTGTTGATGCCTTTTGTTGCCTTGCATCAACTTTTAACAAGTGATTGTATGCTTTGAAATGATATGCAGAGTTTGGAGGTTTTAAACTTGTAAAAAAACCTAACTAAGTGCATCTAGAGCTGGACTTGAAAAATCCGGCCCTCTAAACGTCCGCAAACGTGTCCACGGACGGTCACAGACCCCTTATATTGGCTGCCAGGCAGCCGCACTCACCAAATGCAAACCCTCAAATCCATGCACATCCATCGTACCCGTGAATATCACACGTAAATATACATTTGTCGGTAGCGAAAATACATAGTTCGAACATAAAATTTATTTGAAGCCCACAATTCAAACATTAGCTCTTTAGTTTTCATTGTGGGTCCTCATATGCTTCACAAAATCACTAAGTAGATGCGCGTGCATCTGATAGTCTTGAAGATTATATTATGATGCATCTATAGAAAATTGATAAGCTGATGTGCACCTTCTTGTTCCGGGAAGTGGACTTGTTCTTTAGGTTTGTCAAAATCATTGGTTTGGGAAAACCATCACTCTCGTCCTCGACAATCATATTGCGTGGAATGACACAACATATCATCAACTGCCACAAAGTCTCTGCTTCCCGCATCATTGCAGCTCTATGAACAATTTCCCAACGAGTTTGAAGCACTTCGAATGCCCTCTCCACATCCTTAACAACTTCTTGCATTGTTGTAAAATGGCTTTGTTTGTTGCCTTGGAAATCATATAAACAAGAGGAATAAAAAGAACAGAAAAGACAAAGAACTGGACTACAATAACCCAAAAACACCCATTGTGATGGGACCTAAAGAAAAGCCTGAAAACAAAATGTAAGAGGCCTGCACACCCGGGCCGTTCCACACAGACAAACAAGCAAAGGAAAAAAGGAAAACAGCCCATCACATCCATCCGTGGTGGGCTTCTCTTTGGCAAAGAGCACACAAACCTGCCCATGCGGTATGAATCTTGATGTGCCTAAATCCCTCAAAAAAAATTACACAACTGAGACATTGTTAAATCAATATATTGCAATTAATTTGCGTAGCAACATGTGAGGTATTATCTAGTAGTGACGTACCTTACCACGTGACATATGTGGTAAGGAATCCAAACAATTTTAAAAAAAGTAATAGTGACATACCTTAAAGTTGATGTATAATGCCGGCGATGCACCCTGATTTTGCCTCAGCTATTAATTTAATCAAAAAGCAGCCAGACCACCGTTTCTGAAAATTTCTGGCCAACGGAGGCTACACTCTATAGTGGAACCACATTTCTTCACCTGCATAGTGTTTCCTTTCATTTCTCTCTACCTCTCTCCTTGCATAAATCAGCATAGCTTCCGAAAGTACCTTTCTACACCTGAACTCATATGCTCCTACTATGAACAGTAAAATAAATAAGATAGAAAAACATTTTCAAAAAATTCTGAATTTTTTGTGGCATACTTTAAGAAATGTTTGTTGTGCATGCAAAATTTCATCACGAAATCACATTGGTGGAGGTCGTCGCAAAAAAGAAACAAAATCAAAATTCCAAAATGCGTTGAAAGTAACATTTTCAGAGTATCGATTTTGTTTTCTTACCATGCCTTCCACCAATGTCATTTCATGACGAAATTTTGCATGCACAACAAACATTTTGTGACAGTGCATTAGAGCTCAGGTGTAGAAACTCCACGTCCCATAGCTTCACCCTTCTTCCTTTCAACGGAGGTTGGTTCTTCTGCAGGCTACCCTATCTCGTGTGAGGCTATAGCTTTTGGTCCAAACCTAACTCCGAGCCTACGTGGACCTGGGGGGCAGCAGGCTGTGGCTACCTATTGGCCGTGCCCTTACGTGCCTAGTGCACGTCGGACGAGCCGGACATCTCTGACAGTGCATTAGATTCAGTATAGGTGCGGTCATTGATCATGCACAGCTCATTGGCAGGTACCCATGTGGCCATCGTGCCCACATCAGCAATTGGCTCCTCGTGGAGCACGACTGCTAGACGTTAATGGTAGCATGCCATGCTTAGCTGATCCACTGGTGTCACGAGGCTACATATACGGGGCCGAATGCACAGGCAAAGTCAGTGAGTGAGTGACCACCGATGGAGATGAGGAGATGCAGTATTCCTAGCATCCTGCTGATGCATTCACTGGGGGCAGCCCTCCTCATCGCCGGCCACCCCTCCGTCGCCGACGAGGCGAGCGCCATTCTCCTGCCAAGCCAAGACAAAGGTACGGTGATCCATGCCACGCGCGTGGACTCCTTTCTCTTCTCTCTAGTTCAGTTTAAACTTATCGCTGCTTGGCTTGTTGAGGGCTTGCAGACCAAGTGGTCATGGCGACACCCAGGCCGTGGAAGTGCTGCGACGTGACCGTCTGCACCAGGTCGATCCCGCCGACGTGCAGCTGCCAGGACGTGGTCGACAACTGTGCTCCAACCTGCGAGGACTGCAATGGTTATGTGCACCCACCCCGCCGCGTTTGCCTAGACCGTTACACCGGCGACCCCGGGCCCAGGTGCACGGACGCCGGCGCCGGCGGTAACTGAACTCTACGTACTACTCTACGCGCACCGGTTGGACCTACCGGTATGCGAACGTACGCCGTCGACGTGTGTTACTACATGAATGGCTAATTATGTTGTGTGTGGTCCTGCATGCCTAGCTGCTTGCTGTGCATGCTGCCTGTGTGTGTAATAAGAACGGGTGGCCTTTCATCAAAAAAATAAAACAGGTGGCGTCGGCCTACGTACGATGGATGGGTGGTCCTAGTAATTTACATCATTTTCTTTTCCTGGATACGACAGTCAACAAAAGCCGATATACAAAAATATAGATGAATACATGCATATATTATGGGCCCCAAAAGAAAACAACATCCAGAAACTTATACTAACAAGAAAAAACCTGCGGACTGGTACGTTAATTTCTGTCACTTCACTCTCGTCTCTCTCGCTCGTTCAAAAAAAAAAACTTTCGTCTCTCTTAAGGGGGTGCAAAGTAGTAAATTTGAGGCATGGCCGGTCAGTGCTTGCGGACGCGTTCGGATCTACGCGGTCATCAAAAGAATGGGCACTGTAAGGTTGTCAGAAATACTAAGAGCAAGGTTAATAGTTTAGTCAACCAACCGACTATATGAAGTTACCATGTCAACTATAGCGAACCTAATAGCGCACTGGTAGTTAGATCTATTCCCATGCTAAGTTATTAATGGGTGGCCCATTTTTTCTCACACAAGTGATGTTGCCGCTCATGCTGGAGTCGACCGTATATCTAAATCCCGCTTCTCTTCTTTCTTCTCTTTTCTTCAACTAGGGAAAATAGTATGATGTTGCATTTTTTAATGGGGCATTTACATTTATGCCACTAATCTGGGGCCACTCTCAGATTTACCCCTAAAAAATCATATACTCAAATTTGCCCCTGCGCTTATAGAAATACCGTTCCATACATTTTCCGTCCAGTCAAAGGCCTTTGACCGCCTTTGACTGGACGGAAAATGTAGCGGAAGAGCATTTCTATAAGCTCAGTTAACAGAAGAGGGGCAAATTGCATGATTTTTTAAGGGTAAATATGAGTAGGTGGTTCGAGTTAGGGGCTAAAATGCAAATGGCCCTTTTTTATAACCCGACTATGCATGTGACCCTATTATACTTTCTCTAATACCACTAATTCGTAGACAAGGAAACTGGCGGAGGGTAGTAGAGGCGGAACTGGGTCG